AATAGGAACCAAACAGGTAATAAAATAGATGGATCCCTGTATCCCTTACAAATGCATAATGCAAATAAGCAAATCCTAGGATTTGAATTCCCTCATTTTCTATCAGGAGCACTTCCAAGTGAAAGCACTCTGGTATGTTGTTATCCCATTAGGGCATTTTTGTGAGAAACGTTTCGATAAGTCTGTGTTGTAAAGAGCTTATGTGCACCTATATCATCGCACTTTATCATGGAAGCACTCTGGCAGGAAAGACCTATGGGAGTGCTTCTTATAGGGAGCACTCTTTTTAGGAAGCACTCCCATAAGTTTCACCTCTAATTCTAAGAACGTGTTTCTAGGTGCTTTGACAAGGACGTTCTTACAGCTGTGCTAGATTATTTGATTATCATTGATACTTTGTATTATTATTCTACTAAAACTCATTGATTATTTTCCCTATCACTTGAAAATTGGGAGGAAACAAAGGGGAGAAAATTACGAAAAAATTATATCAATAAATATTTGGAATGGAATTTTTTTGTTTTTCATTTGGTAAATTGAAGTGTTACTTACAATAGCCACTACACTCAAGTGGCAAGGACGAGTTAGGTATAAGTAGATGTCAAGGACTCAAGTTGTCAAGCACACACGATATATAATGAAAAGAAAGTATTATTAATAGCACGTCAAATTTTTATTATAGCTTGATTTGCAAGAAAAATGATTATTGCAAATTTTATGGCCCAAAGACATGGTAAATAAATATTAATATTTCTCATAATCTCTCCTCAGTTGAAAGTATATAACGGTATTAGATTTTCATATAACTTGAGATAAATCGTATTATTTTTGACATATAAATAGTATTAGTATATTTGTTTAGACTTTATATTTTATTTAGAAAAATAATAATTTGTTGAAGTGTTTCATATTTTCAAACAATTTTCAATTAAAATTTATTTCATTTTATTATTATTTATTAATTGCACAGAAACCTACACTTTACTTAATAAATTAAGTTCTTAATCATTGTACTTCCTTAATATAGATGTTTCTTATACATCTATATATGCCATCATATTCATAAAAATTATCAAAACCATGTTTGGTATAAATGAAATATGAATGAAAAATTATGTTTGTACTCCTAACAAAAATGAATAAAATAAAAAATAACTATGATTATGATGGATATTGCATAAATTAACTACCCGTTTTTATGCATTCATCATCGCTGCATTGGCATTTTTTATGATAGCGATAGAGTAAGCATTATATGAAGCTTTCTTGGTTTTAAAAGCAATGTGCTGTTGATGTCATCTTAGATATAATGACTTAAAGATTTTATATGAACTTTAAAAAATATATAAACAAAATATTCTCATAAATAGTCTCACCCCCCTCTATTTTACCTTTATTATATACTATACCTTTTTCTATTTTTGAAACATATACAAACCTCTCCTGGTATAAATTATAGTTACAAAATATAAACGCCTCTTCTATTTTTAAATTTTTATTTTCATCCACTCAACTATTAGTTGACTATTAATTATATATGTTAGACAAAAATACCCTTTATCAAAAATAAATGTTGTCTAAAAATTAATCATATTACCAAAAAAAATTATGAATATTTTTATTTTAATTTATATTTTATATTTTTTGTTTTGTAACGTGTTTATTAAAAACAGAATTAAAAAAACTTAATAGAATAAGGATTTTTTGGCTAGAAATGAAATATTTACTTAATATAAAAATTGCTTAATTTTTGGCCAAATAATAATTTCATAATAGAACTTATATTTATTTTTTAAAAAAATTCATTAATTTTAACATAAAAATTTAAATTTTTTTATATAATATTTATATATTCCCTCCATTCAAAAATATAAAGTATTTTTAATGAATCTCTCCCATCAATAAAATAATTACTTGTTTTCAAACAAATCCTATCTTATATTTTTTAACAACCAACTCCTAAAAAAATATCTTATATTTTTTAACAGAGGGAATACTTAATTATTTAAAGTTCTCAAAATTAGGGAGAGAGTAGATAAATAAATTATAAGAGCAAATTAATAATTTAAAATTTTTAATATAATTACAAATAAAAAAATTAAGTATTTTAGAATTTTTAATGAAATGTTCCTAACGTGTTAACAATTGGACTAAAAATATAGGTTTCAAAAATAAAGGAAAGGTCTCTGTAATGTTAGCAAAATAAAAGGAAGGTCATTGTATTCTACTCTTTCTTTTAACAAAATTTGAAAATATATTTTAAGAGTTTAAATCTCACACACACACACACATATTCTATAAAATTTTAATTTATATATATATATATATATATATTAATCTTTTGTTCAAATTTATCAATATTATAAAACGAGACATTAAAAATCTGTATAGTTACCCAAGTCTTATAAAATTATTAAATGTCTACTAAGAAGTCTCGTTTTTCTATATTTGATTTACAATTACGCCAAAGCATGCTTGATGACTAAGTATAATCATTATCAATCAATAACTCAAGAAAATTGAATTATTATCTTGTATGATTACTGTCCAAAATTGATGACAAATTTTAAAAAGAAATGGGAGAATTTCATTAAAGTCCATTGGATGTGACATAATTTCAATCGGGTTTCAAAAAGTTCTAAAATTTCACTGTTGGCCCAGATTTGATGTTGCAATTCTTCTCTTGAATTTCTGCTATTGTCCGTGGCTGTTAAAAAAAAAATGAAAATTAAGCTGAAATTTATGTACTGAAAGCATAATTACGATAAGTATGGGTCAAAAATTTTGAGCTAAATCAGTTTTGGTTGGATTGGTTGATGTTAAAGAATTGGTTAGCATGAGATTTGGATAGAAGAACTTGGACATGAGACTTGAAAGTTGGTGCTTATAAGATATTTGATAAAATGCTTGTTAGAGGCAATTGCTTGATTGTGTATTTCCTAAAATTTCATTAAATTCTTTGGAAGGCATAAATGCTTTGGATACTATTATCTTGTGAATTGAGTTTAGGATTGTATAGAAATTTGATTATAAAAATAGTGGAGCTTATTGTGTTTTTTCAAACCTTTAAATATTTAAAATGAAATTTGTGGTTTCAAGTTAGATGTTGGGAAGAGAGTGCATAAGTAAACAAAGGTATTGTTTATTTAAATTATTTGTTGGTGAAATATTTTAACTTTGTGCACTAGAGTGAATTGTGGAAGAAATGGATGTCTATTGGAGATGTATGGAGTAGAGTCATCATTAAAGAAGTTGTTTATTGATCTTGTCTAGGTAATAGAGTAGCCAAGGGGGACTTGAGAGAGGAGTATTTTAGAAGGAACAAATTATTGTCTTAAGTTCAGGTAAGTGGATGACGTCCCAAATAATTTATTAGCAAAGTTTTTTTTTTCAAGATATTATATATATATATATATATATATATGCATGCATGCATGTTTGTATGTATGTATTTTTTCAGCATTGATTACTTTTGTCCATTGAATAACTCCATTTCTTGAAATCATGTCATGTGCCTACAACATTGATGAAATTGTTTTTTTAGTAATCCTTTATTTGATAAAGAAAATCACGAAAATTCGTGAAAAAGGTTGAGATTTTATATTGAGAATAACTGGTCTTTACATAATTCATGTAAATTTGACAAGGAAAAGCAAAAATTATAATTCGATAATGATTATTTTTCTTGCATGTTTGAAAATTAATTTTTGAAGGGACTTTATATAGAACACTAATTGCTAATGGTAGTCCCGTTAGCCCTTGGTGCCCTATGGTCAACAACTAGCTAGTTTAATTTTCATGAGCTCTGTTCTCACGTCTGTTATTCGTGGGTTTCATACTTGTATCTGTTTCATGACTTCGATCACATTTGATTAGTTACCATCATGGATTATGAGTCCATGTCTGTTTCGTGGGTTCGACCACGTTTGATTAGTTATCCTCGTGGACTTTGTATCCACATTCATCTTCATGGCATAAGCCACGTTTGGTTATATACCCTCGTGGATTGTGTGTCCGCATTTGTTAATTGTTTGATAAGTTCCTATAATTATAAATTTGATTATTTGGTGATTTTATACCCCATTGGATTTTAATTAGTAATTTATTTATAATTATTTATTTTGTTTATTTGCTTTCTAGAAATCAAGTGATAATAATATTGGATATGATAATTTAATGATTCAAGATTTAATTTAAAATTATATAGAGCCATTTTATTATGAAGTTTACTAAATTTTATGAAAATCGTTGTCTCTTTAACTTATACAATTGCTTCAAACTTTCCTTTTATTCAAGTTCAATTGTTTATTGGGATGTTATTCACTAAAAAATGTTTTTGGCCTCAGATAGTATAGCTGATGATCTACCTCTTGTTAATCTATGAGGGCCTCATTGTTGAATTGATGAGAAGACCTTTTGAGGATACCTTCCTTTTGATGTAAATGTTTAATTATATGTTATTCTTTAAAATTATGATTAGATGCTCCACGTTAACTATAAATAGAATTTGATATGTTATCTATTTGTCTGTCTGTTATGGAGGAGTAGAGCTCTGCATTTTTAAATCGAATTGTACATTAATGTTGTAAAGGCTTCAGGAAGTTCTGTTTACAGTGGAGGTTTTGTCAAAATTTTTATAAAAAGTTGAAGAATATTTTGTTTATATAAAAATGTTATAATGACTTTTCATCCTATTTTAAATGAATTAAAATATTAGAATAAAGTTTTTTTAATCAAGGCTTAAGGGATATATGTTTGTGCATATATCTCATATCAATCATGTCTAATTTTTGGGGCGTGATAGTAATAGGATAAGGTTTATTTTTGTTGCTTTCTCTCTCGTATCACGTAGGGAAAATATCTGGTTGAATGGTTATTATTACATTTAATTTATGACTTTTCTAAAAGTGTTGACCATTCATGTGAGATCTGTGCTATCCACACATCGAATGTATATTTCTAATTGATATCCAAGTCTGGGTCCCACATCTCTGGACAATATTTGATTAGCATTCTCCCTCTTTCTATGATTCCTATAAGTTCCTCATTAATATCTTAAACTGATAATTATTTGCAGTTTCAGTACATAGTTTCTCCAATGATGAAGTTCCCACTCCGACCCATCGTTGCTTTTCTCGTAGTGAGTTCGACTTTCTTCTTCTTCTTCTTCTCACTTTTTTCTCTTCCAATGAATCTAATGCTAATGAATATTTATATTTTTACATATTACATTGAATATATGAAATATTGAAATTGCAGGTTGCATTACTGGTGGCAACGCATGCTGCCTTATCTCCTGAGCTTTACTGGAAGTCCATGCTTCCCACTACACCCATGCCCAGATTTATCGCAGATCTCCTCCACCCAGCTGGTTAGATTGTACTACTCGAGATATTTATACACAAATTAATTAGAATTTCAATCTTAGCAAAAGATAGTCCCTGCGTTTCAAAATAGTATATGTCTTTTGAGATATTTACAAACATACTAATTCGAAATGCAATTAATACATAAGAATATAGGCCACGTTATCAAATTTACCAGAGTATGACAAATGATATACAATAAGTTTCATTAAGTTCTAATAATAATTAGTTAATACTGGTAAGTCAGGTTATGGCACCACCGTCCACAGAAGGGTCGATCGCCAAGCATATTGTGCAAACGAGTATTGTTATGCTGACTCTGAGACCAAACTCCACAATAACCCCAACACAGCTCTCTTCTTCTTGGAAAAGGACTTGAAGGTTGGTCACAAAATGAATTTGCTCTTCACGCAAGCCTCCAACCAAGCATCCTTCCTTCCCCGTGGAGTCGTGAAATCCATTCCCTTTTCCTCAAGCAAAGCAAGGTACGTAGTGTCTGACTCATTCTACCATGTTTGTGAACACTGATATTCTGAAGAGTTAAAGAACATTTTCCCCCCTTAAACTTATTTTTGAAGAGTGCTAGACACCTTAGACCCACTAAACAAATTTTTTCAAGAGCAAAATTGCTCTTCTATTAGAGTCTCATCATTTTCACTGTTATTTACTAATGAGGAGGAATAGTGGGACCTACAAATAGTGACAAGGCATTCTAACCCATTTTGACCATCTAAAATGAGCTAAAAGGGCTGGAAGTGGAAGTGGTAGTAGTAGAAACCGAGCATAATTTTGGCAGCAAAACGGGTTAAAATGCCTTGCTGTCACTATGCATGAGCCCCACAATTATTCCACATTAGCAAATAATGGAGAAGATGATGGGTCTCTAACGGAGGACAATTTGCCCCTGAAAAAATTGTTTAGGGGCAAAATATTGCCCCACCTTTCATTACAAGGTGTCCAACACTTTTCAAAAAAACCATTTAAGGGGAAAAATTGTCTTTAACCCTATTCTGAAACTAACCCTCTGTTTGGATGGAAAGAAATGTTGAGAATGAAAGAAAATGAAGAGAAAGAAAACTGAAAAGAAAATATTATCTTTCCTTATGTTTGGATGAGTAGGGAAAACAGGGAGAAAGAAAATGAGCAAATAGTATAATGACTATGATACTCTTGTATCAAAATATGTCTTGTTTTATGTAATTATTTTTATAAAAACAAATTAAAAGGAAGAATTATATTAAAATTAACTTCATAAAAATTAAAATCAATTTGTTTATTAAAAATATATTATCATATTATTATATTTTAAAACCAAATAATTAATAAAAATATATTATTTTTATTTAAAATATTAAAATGAGATAATTTATTAAAATTAAATATAAATCATCTATTCAATATAGTTGGACATTGTAGCTTCTGGTGAAGAAGAAAAAGAAGAGTAGGGGAGAGAGAGAAGTTAGGCATGAGAGAGAGAGAGAGAGATTGACAAATTGTAAAGATGGAAAAAAAAAAAGGGAGAAGAAAGAATGGCATATATGAAATAACAAATTTCTTCCCAAAATCTATCCATATATGGAGAGAAAACTTGGGAAAAAGTATGGCGGGTCCTACCTTCTATTACTTCTGTACTTTTCCTTCCTTTTATTTTTCTTTCCTCATTCAAGTAGGGAAAAATTTGTTTTCTTCCTAGTTTTCCCCTCTTATTTTCTTTCCTCCCACATTTTCTCTCCAAACAAATGAAGCATAAGGGGAAAAATAGATAATTTATGTATTTGTGATTCTTTACTAACAGATGACTGAGATATTGAACAAATTTGCTGTGAAGCCCGGGTCAAAAAAGCTGAGGTTATGAATAACACAATTAAACTTTGTGAGGAGTCAGGGATTAAAGGAGAAGAGAAGTATTGTGCCACGTCATTGGAATCCATGGTTGACTTTATCACTTCCAAGCTTGGGAAAATGTGGAAGCTTGGTCTACAGAGGTGAAGAAGGAAACAAAGAACCAAGAGTACACAATAATGCAGGGAGTGAAGAAGGTGGGAGAGGCCAAAGTGGTTGTTGCCACAAGCTCAATTATGTGTATGCTGTGTTTTACTGTCACAAATAATGAACACAGTTGCCTATACGGCGTCGTTGAAGGGGGCTGATGGGAGTAGGGTTAAAGCTGTGAGTGTATGTCACAGAGACACGTCACAGTGGAACCCAAACATTTGGCCTTCCAAATGCTAAAAGTGAAACCAGGGAGTGTTCCTATATGCCACTTCCTTTTTCAAAACACCATTGCGTGGGTTCAAAGATAAATTAGGTGAATTCACATATTTAGCGAATTTCACTACTCAGTCTTTCTCCTCCTAGACATCTGACTGGTGAGTGAACGAGAAAGTGTGTGTGTTTGTAGATGGTATGTTTTTTTTTCTTTTTTGTGTATAATTTGAATAAGCTTTCTATTTCTCATTTTCTCTTATTGGCCATTATCGTACAACACAACAAGTCTTGTACCACTAAGTGGAGTTGGCTATATGAATTACACGACGTCATTAAACACTATCATTAATCAAACTTTTAAGAATATTATTAATCAAGAGATTTCATTCAACAACTTTCATAAGTATTCTGTTCTTTGATTTTTCTCTATCTCTCTTTACATTACTCAAAGCTGTTCGTTCCACTCCTTATTGGTGCTTCTCACAGCTTTTTCTGTACATATTCAAATTATCTCAAACAATTTTTTACTATTTTCTTCACAATAAATCTTTGAACGATTTTCTACCATAAAAAAGCAAAAACAACATGTACCTTTTCCTTTGGCTTTCAATTTCGATCTTCTATTAAGCACAAATTTGATTCTCCAGAATGCGTTTAAGTTATAATAGAAATAAAAGCGACGTTTTGTACAAAGAAAGAAAGTGAATCTCGCATAAGATCATGTATTTATACAGCTTAGCAAAAAAAAAAAAGATGACCCAAAACATCTCACAGTAATGGAAAAATAATTGAATATTTTGCCAAAGATAAGGGTTAAGATGCTTTGATCACCCGAAAAAGGGTGGCATAATGTGACCCTTAAGTATTAACAATGATGCAATGTTACCTTTTCATTAATAGATTGTCAATTTGAGAATTAATAAATGGGAAAAATTACATATAAGACCCAAACGTTACAAATAAGTTTTTTTTAAAAAAATACTCTACTAAAAATAAATGTCACACTACAACATACAATTTTAATCGGTAATATAGATGAGTGACGTTTATCACGTAAGATGAGCAAAAGTACACGAATTGAATCAAAGATTTAAACGAAGATAAGCAAAAAAAAAAAAATGAGGAAACAAGTCTAAGCTATGGTTAATGTTAGTGGTAATTAAGTCTAGTTCTCAAGTCTAAGCTATCGGTCCTCTTCCACTCTAGTCTGTCCATGTTCTTCGACAGCAAGCTAAGGGGAACCAGTACAAATGATCCGTATAAATATATATATATATATATATATTATAATGCATGGCTTTAAGCAACTAGTACATAGGATCCACATTAAAATTAAATATATATAATATGAATATATAAATCCACTTGCTTGTTCATATACAAGACAAGAACATGCTTGATAGCAAACTATGTAAACCTCTTTAAATAATGGACTATCAACAGCAGGACATAAAGTTCACCCTTTGGCTTTATAAAAGATGTTGAGGTACTATCTTTTGACCTCCTAAATATTAACAAAGCAAAACATAAAAAGTTCACTCTATGATTTTACAAAAGATGTTGAGGTATTGTCTACAACCTTTAAAAGAAGGGCTTAACATACATACTACCTTTATATAAATGAAGTAGTGTGTATTTTGCATGTAGCCCATGGTCTCGCAAAGCAGTCCATAAAGGTCCTGCGAAGCTAACTATATACAGGTCTTGTGCATTAATTCAAGAAGATTGTGCACCCAAGCATCCATCTCGTCTTCAAGAACCAGTGAGAACGCAAACACTAGTGATGGACCAAGCCTTCCTGACTCCTTGCGCATTTCAGCAAATTAACGTCCTTTATCCTGATCCGACGCTTAGAAACATTTTGAGACTTCTAAAAATGCCTAGGAGAGTTAGAATACATTAGAATAGGTTTAGAGTGAAATAGAAGAGAAAACATAGCAATATAAATGTTTGTGATACATTTATTTATGCCATCATGTTAATAAAAACTATCACAACTATGTTTGTATAAATGAAAATATGAATGGAAAATTATGTTTGTACTCCTAACAAAAAATATAATAAAATAAAAAAATGATTATGATTATGATAATGATGGATATTGCATAAGTTAACTACTCGTTTGTATGCTTTCATTATTCATATGGCGTCTCCTTTAGGCAACCCAATGTGCTGTTATTGTCGTCCTAGACACAGTGATATGAATGACATAAATATGGAGACTTCGGCATTTTTATGAAAGTGATAGAGTAATAAGCCATTATATGAAGTTTCGCTTGGTTTCTAAAGGTGTCACAGCTCGAAATATAGGAGTGACTAGCATGGGATTTGTGAACAAAGCACATATCCCTTAAACCTTACTATTTTTGTAAGAATTTCATTAGCACCTCCCATATAAGTATAACCTCTCAAAAATCCTACGGTATAATTTTTACAAGAAGAATATTACTAAAATCAGGAGCATAGCTCCATCTAGCCAATAGACAGAATATATAACCAAATAAAAACCCTAACTATAGCCTATATAGAGTACCTAATTATATTTTCAAAACACATTACATAAATTTCATACTTACTTCAAAAAGATATAATGACAAAACAAATTTCCACCCCGCTCCGCAACAATCCCTAAGTGGTCAGTAAGACATACAATGTTAGCTACACTGTTTGAGACTAAAATAATTTTTTAGTGAATAATAACTCAATTATAGTTGATGAAAATAATGGAAGGTGCATCAATTAAGTTTTTTTTATAAACTTAATAAAGTAATCAATTGAAAATAATATAGCACATACCTTATATACATATATCAACGGTTATGTAAATGTTAAAAAAAAAACTATGAATGTATCAATTCAATTTCAATTTTATTAGAAATTCAAGTTCCACTATAAATATCAACATGTTTAAACACTTTCAGAATTATATAGCTTGATATAAAATTCAAATATAGTAAAAATAACAGTTTGCTTCAAAGGATTAAATTTTGAGAAAAATTAATTTTCAAAATTTACTTTTTAGTAGGATTTTATCAAAATGATTAACAAGTGTAAACACAGTTCACGAGAGTAAATTATCAATAAGCGTCGTTTGAAGTCACGAAAACAAGCGTAGGTACAAGAGCTTTATGCATTCAAGGCTTCACAATCTCTGCTCTAGGTTCATCAATGAAAGATCTCATTCTTAGAGCAAACTGCCTTTGGTTGGAGAATTGTATGTGGGATCATAAAGATCTAAATTTAGAGATAAAGAACTTAGTGGTTTTACATTGTCTAGAGAAAATGTTCATCGTTGATAACTTGATGCCAACCATCTTCAAACAAAACAAGTATTCTCTTGCATGATTACTTTAACATTGAATGGAATGAATAGTCTTGAACAAGTGCTCACCCTTGCCACTGTTACAAGCCAACCAAAGTTGAGGAATTGAAGATATATGATTGCGGCAAAGTGAAATGGCTATTCCCTTATTCTCTTGCTTGCCATTGTCCTTCACTGGAGAAATTGAAAATATGTAATTGCTCTAAACTTGAGAGGCTCATTGGTGGAGAGGGTGATGAAGACTTATCACATGAGGATCAACCACAATGGCAAGGAGAGTCCCTTTATAATATGCGAGGTTTTTCATATGTAAGTATTATTTGCAAAATCCCTCTTGACTATGAAACACCTAAATAATATTACTTATTAGAAATAATAATCCATGTTTGATGCATCGACTAAAAAAATTATTAACTTTCAAAGAAGGAAATATTATTTGTAAATTGAATTTGTTGCTTTTCCTTTGATACATGACATTTATATCCTTTTCTCAAATTTTGAGCTGAAATCAAATAATCAATTCTTCTTGCTTGTCTCTCTAGCTAGTCATTTGAACTTTTTTTTTGTCAAAGAAATGTGTTACAGTGTCTAACACAATACATTGTGAAAAGTATTTATACAGACCAGTATATTAAATAATAATTTTCAAGCAAAATATCATTGCTTCTTGAGCTTCTTTTGAGATTTCTAAGTTTCTTACATTTTTTTTCATTTAATTACTTTTTAATGCAAACATTTGATAAATTTTATTTCATATTTTTGGTCAAGGAGATGACTTTTTGATGTATCTTTTGACTTTAAATTTTTCTCATAGCCAATACTAGGGGTGAGCAAAACTGAACCGAACCAAATTATGTTTAATCTATTTGGTTCTATTTTGTTAGGTTTAAATCTTCAGTTCAATTCTTTCTTTAAAAAAGTTTGGTTTAAACAATTTAGTATGGTCTGAAGAGAAAGAAACCATACAGACTAAACAAATCAAAATAAAAAATATTTTTGTTGAAAAATGATATTTATTTTTTGTATTTTATAAAGGTTATTTTTAGTTTTAAATTTATATTCAGGTGAATTGAGGACCTTGAGACCTAAGTCCATAAGCCTACAATGTTTGATGCTACTTACCTAGAAGCCCAAAGAAGCGATAAGCCCAGATCATCCTTAAACCTAAGCCTCAAATATGAGAAGGACTCTCATCTTCTACCTGATGCCTCAACCTCCAACTTGCACGCTCAAGCAATCAAACCTCTCTTCCTCATGTTGCCATTCTCTCCTTTAGCCAGTTAGTCACCCACTCCCTCATACTTTCTCAATTTTCCCTAGCTGTCACTACTCTCTCCCTCTCCTATGCCGTGTCTGTTCTTCCCTTTCTCTTGTGCTCAAACTTTCTGTGTCCATGTTGATTGTCACTTGCTGTAATAGCAATAATTTTGGTGGTCTGATGCTCATCGCTGCTTCTTTTCCTCTCCTCTCATCTTTCATTTTCTTATTTTGCTTACACTTTTCAATTCCATTTTCACTTTGTTTTGCCAACGTCTTGTCACTCTATCTATGTTCTGGAACAATTGATTTAGGAAACCGAATCAAACCATCTTATTTCAGTTCCGTCACGATTCCGTTTATAAATATAGTTTGGTTTAGTTCAGATCAGGTTGGTTTTGTCAAATTTGATAGTGAAACCACCGTATAAACTAATGCTCACCCCACAAATATAAGTTATTTTTACCCAATGCACAGCTATCGAGAGAATGAATCTATCAGATTTTTAAGATTTTAATTTGTTTTTTATTTTTCCCTTCTTCTTTTTATATGGAAATTTTCCCTTTCCTTAAGTACATGAGAAATGATAATGATAATGAAGGGAGCTAAAGTATTTTAATATATCTTAAAGGGTATTTTAGGAAAAAGATATCAATTTTCCTCTAAAATTCATAAAGTACCTTGTAGAGTAAAATGTAAGATTGTGCAAAACGTGTT